CCCCTCTCACCTGTCATTGCCAACCTCTACATGGAACACTTTGAAACCCAAGCTCTAGAAAAATCGGATCACAAACCCAAACTCTGGCTCAGATACGTAGACGACACCTTCATAATCTGGCCAAATGGGAAAGAAAAACTGGACAACTTCCTCACACACCTCAACAGCCTACACCCCAAAATACAGTTCACCATGGAAACAGAAGCTAACAACCAACTTCCCTTCCTGGATGTCTTAGTCTACAAGAAATCCAATGGCTACCTAGGACACACCATCTACCAGAAGAAAACACACACAAACCGCTATCTGCACGCTCTCTCACACCACCACCCAGCACAGATCAACTCTGTAGCCAAGACACTCATCTCCAGAACAAAACGCTTAGCTGACGAACAACACCTAAAACCCGAACTACACACTCTCACCAATGTACTAACATCAAATGGATTCCATAGAAATAAGATTACAAACCTAATCCAAAAAGAAACCCCCACTAAAATCCAAGACAAAGAACAAGAAAACGGCAAAGCCCTCCTCCCATACATAAAAGGCACCACAGACAGAATCAGTAAGATCCTCCATAAACACAACATCAAAACAGCATTCTGCACAAACAGAAAAATATCCACCATCCTTAGAAACCCCAAAGATAAAATTGAATTAGAAAATCAAGGAGTATACGAAATCCCATGCACCACTTGTCCCACCACATACATCGGACAAACCAACAGAAGAATAAGTGCACGCATTGAAGAACATAAGAACTCAGTCAAAAAAGAGGAACCAACATCTTCCCTGGTCCAACACCTTAAAGCCACAGGACATGAAATTGACTTTAAAAATACCAGAACCATTGCCAAAAGTGAACATTTTAATAACAGAATAATCAGAGAAGCCATCGAGATAGAAAAACGCCCACACAGCATGAACAAGCGAGATGATACCTCCCGCCTACCAGCCATTTGGAAACCACCCTTATTGACAAACGACTCCCTAACCCCAAAATCTTAAACCCCTCTGCAACTCAGACTAACCTGAGCACAACCAAACAGAACACTCCCCCAGCCAATCAGAGCACAGCCAAGCCCCTAACCATTCAGAACACACCTCCACCCAATCAGAACACAGCCAAGCTCCCATCCAATCAGTTCATACCCTCACTGGCAGTTAAAAGGAAGAAGAAACAGCTAAAACCACACATTGCTGCTCAAAGCAAGAAGCTAAAAACACCAGCCTGAAGATGACGAATGTGACCTTCGTCGAAACGTTGCCAAGACACTTCCAATTTTACGCGGGAGAAAACCGAACAACCAAAGACCTATATACAAATACCCGCGAAAACCTCAGAAAACAAATATCGAACCTCTACGGGGAGGAAATCCACCATCTGACCAGGACCTATGAAAAACTTGAAGTCCAAAGAGCTTCCATTTTATGTGACCTCGCATTCCTACGTAACTGCCGAGATCAAAATCTAATCCCCACATGTTTCCAACTGAAATTCCACTCCAACTCTGCAGCCACCAAACGGATCCTGAAAAGAACAGAATTGGCCCTAATCAGAAATGAACTTCACACAAAAAGATTCCTCCTAGACCGAATTAACAAAGATCTCCTCACACTCCACCTCAAACTCAGCAACAAGATCCACCCCGCACTTTGGGACAAATCCAAACAACTCGCCGTCTGGAGAGCCGAAACACAGACCACCCTCAAGACAGATACACACACCAACAAACTCCGAAGACTACAAGAACGCCAGAAACAAACCCCTCCTCCCTCACAGCCACACATGAAACAAACAGTGCATAACATCTCAGATAGGATCCTCACCAAAGCCGAAACCAATGTCCTTTCCAAAGGATTCAACTTTGCAGTCGCTCCCAAACACATCCCCACTGAAACCATTATATGTGGAGTTGAAACCAGCCTGACCAAAATCAACCCCGATGACGCTAACAAAATCAGACTCAAAATCACCAACATCCTCTGCACCAGCAAGCCACCCAAAAGCAACTTACCCAAAGAGGAACAGACAGCACTACGTAACCTGAAAGAAGACACCAGCATAATAATCCTACCAGCAGACAAGGGCAACGCCACGGTGGTTATGAACACATCTGACTACCAAACCAAATTAACCAACCTACTCCAAGACTCCACATACAAACCCTAAATACAGATCCCACCACCTACCTGGAAAAAACCACCAGATCCAAAATAAAAGCCTCCCCCATTAGCGAAGAGATCCAGCAAAGAATCATTCCCAGAGAGAAATCATCCAGATGCCCCAAACTCTATGGTCTCCCCAAGATACACAAAGAAGGAACCCCACTCAGACCTATAGTCAGCTCCATAGGCTCACCTCTACAAAACCTAGCCAAATTTCTCGCCAAACAACTACAGCCCTATGCAGAATCCATCACCTCACACGTAAAAAACTCATTCCAGTTTATAGAGATCATAAAGAAACAAAGCTTACAGCCCAGCGACCTACTAGTGAGCTTCGATGTCATATCCCTCTTCACCCAAGTGCCTATCAAAGAAGCCTTGACAGCTATTCAAAACAAATATAACCCCCCCAAACACATCTTAGATCTGACCAACCACTGCCTATCCAACACATACTTCATCTATAATGGACAAAAATACAAACAAACAGAAGGAGCACCCATGGGATCACCCCTCTCACCTGTCATTGCCAACCTCTACATGGAACACTTTGAAACCCAAGCTCTAGAAAAATCGGATCACAAACCCAAACTCTGGCTCAGATATGTAGACGACACCTTCATAATCTGGCCACATGGGAAAGAAAAACTGGACAACTTCCTCACACACCTCAACAGCCTACACCCCAAAATACAGTTCACCATGGAAACAGAAGCTAACAACCAACTTCCCTTCCTGGATGTCTTAGTCTACAAGAAATCCAATGGCTCCCTAGGACACACCATCTACCAGAAGAAAACACACACAAACCGCTATCTGCACGCTCTCTCACACCACCACCCAGCACAGATCAACTCTGTAGCCAAGACACTCATCTCCAGAACAAAACGCTTAGCTGACGAACAACACCTAAAACCCGAACTACACACTCTCACCAATGTACTAACATCCAATGGATTCCATAGAAATAAGATTACAAACCTAATCCAAAAAGAAACCCCCACTAAAATCCAAGACAAAGAACAAGAAAACGGCAAAGCCCTCCTCCCATACATAAAAGGCACCACAGACAGAATCAGTAAGATCCTCCATAAACACAACATCAAAACAGCATTCTGCACAAACAGAAAAATATCCACCATCCTTAGAAACCCCAAAGATAAAATTGAATTAGAAAATCAAGGAGTATACGAAATCCCATGCACCACTTGTCCCACCACATACATCGGACAAACCAACAGAAGAATAAGTGCACGCATTGAAGAACATAAGAACTCAGTCAAAAAAGAGGAACCAACATCTTCCCTGGTCCAACACCTTAAAGCCACAGGACATGAAATTGACTTTAAAAATACCAGAACCATTGCCAAAAGTGAACATTTTAATAACAGAATAATCAGAGAAGCCATCGAGATAGAAAAACGCCCACACAGCATGAACAAGCGAGATGATACCTCCCGCCTACCAGCCATTTGGAAACCTGCCCTTATTGACAAACGACTCCCTAACCCCAAAATCTTAAACCCCTCTGCAACTCAGACTAACCTGAGCACAACCAAACAGAACACTCCCCCAGCCAATCAGAGCACAGCCAAGCCCCTAACCATTCAGAACACACCTCCACCCAATCAGAACACAGCCAAGCTCCCATCCAATCAGTTCATACCCCACTGGCAGTTAAAAGGAAGAAACAGCTAAAACCACACATTGCTGCTCAAAGCAAGAAGCTGAAAACACCAGCCTGAAGATGACGAATGTGACTTCGTCGAAACGTTGCCAAGACACTTCCAATTTTACGCGGGAGAAAACCCGAACAACCAAAGACCTATATACAAATACCCGCGAAAACCTCAGAAAACATATATATATATATATATATATATATATATATATATATATATATATATATATATATATATATATATATATATTTAAAAAGAAAATGAATTCTAAGAAAACATAAATACTATGAGGGAGTTGTGCAAGTATCTACTGTGTTGAGTGAATATTTGGACAATCATTTCAAAGCACAGGTGAGAGTTCATGTGATGGATTGTTATTCTATTCAAAAATATTTCCTAACATGTCTAGGTAAAGTTGCTTAGAATCCTTTTGCCAGTTATCTACTTTTCTGTGTGGTGTGAATTTTTATGGTAATAATTCTCTTTCAAGGCATTGAATGCTAGAGGTCAACATCTGCTGGGGAAAATAGAGGAAGGCAAGTGTATGCATGTATGTCACAACACAAAAAAGTTGACTTGCTAGCCTCTGATTATTGGGAAACAACTATACATGGGTGTGTTTCATGGCATGGCATTCCAGTCTACCAGTCATCTTTTTGTCAAAACCTTAGTTGGCAGGTTTCTGTAGGAAGAAACTGTGATACTGGACTTACAGTCTATTTTCTATAATTCATTGAATCTGTGTATCTCCTTTAAAAAAAATTAACAAAACCTAGTATACAGATGTTTGCAATAACTTGGAAGTCATTTTAAAATCCATTTGTTTCTACCAAACCTGCAGTTTTGTTTGCATTTCTCTTCCTTTGGGCTGATGGTTTCCATGTCTTGGTTATGGTTTAGAAATTGTGGACTTCGATGCTTTTTTTTTTTTAGGCCATACTTTAATAAGGTAGTCCTTTTGGAGAGAATCATAAAGATTGACTTCTGTAATGTTGAAGTCATCAGTCCAATATCATGAAAACCTTTCTTCTGCAAATCTTTAAAATTGTAATCCCCAAAAGGGCAGCATTTTCTTCTTGCCCAAAAGTACCTGATGCACATTCATATAGGTTTAGCCACCTCTGATATTTTTAGAATGACCCAGGCTATTATTTCTAACAGGCTCCCATACCATGCATTTTAAAAATAAACAAACAAGGAAATGTTTTCATTCTTTTATTTACACACATAAGCTGAAGGCACTTTAAAAATGTCTGGCTATTTAATGTGGTTTTAAATCAGGCTGATTGCCAATTACAATTTAACTAGAGGACGAGGATTTTTACTTATTCTTGAAGTTCTTTTATGGTTTACTCTCTTATCTTGATGTCAATTCCCTTTTTTGGGTGGGGGGAGGGAATTGGGTCAAGAGCAGGAAGGTTAGGACACCCTGCCAGAGGGCCTCCCAAATCTGTACATCTGTCATAGATCATGTCATGGAACAGAAATGTTTGTTTTTTCCGCCCATTCATTTCAGCTGGCAGCCAGTTATTATTAGAATGAAAAATTAAGCTATTATGCAGTGGGAAGCCTCACTGCCTGGACAAAATTTATGACGTTAATACAAGAAAATTATCCTTTATAGCTCATATAAGCAGCTGTATGTATAATGCAAGTCTCTGGATAACACCATGCTCCTCCCCCCTTCCCTGATTTCAAATAAAATGGGCTAAAATGGATTTGCTTGTTCCTGATAGAGAAGGATTCTCAGCCTTAAGGTCACATTCCAGACAGCACAAGAGAGTCTGGGTGGAGTCAAAAGAGGACGGAGTAAATGTCCACAATAGGCTATTCTATGTCTGCAGACACAGGGAGCTGTTTCAATTCAGGCTAAACCCTTTTAAACTGCAGCTAAATTCCAACCTTAGCTTTGTTCATCTCGGGCAAGTGGCAAAGCCTAAAGCTGGTAGCCAAGGCAGAAAGGGACTATATCCACAGAGTTGTTATGATTTTTCTTGAATAAATAATATTGAGGGTTTGTGGACAATGAGAAAAGGCAGATATTAACTGTCCATGTGTCATGCACTGCTGGAATGGACATTGAGTGTATTTAAGCGTGTGATTTCACTTGTGCCCAATGAGCATAGGCTACAGCTGAAACTTTGCCTGTAGGCACCAGTCTGCCCATAACTTTCATACCTGGAATTTTCCAAGTGCCCCATTCTATCTGACTACCCTATTTTTCATGGGATTACCATTTCTGGGTTGCAAAAGTCTACGTGATCATAGAGGGCAGCAAAGCATTAGACTTCCCTGTCCCATTTTGTTGCCATCTGTTGCTTTCCTGGATGTTTGCAATCCAGATGTAGCAGTCCCACTTTTTCAATAAAATTCAACGAAAGCTGTCATGCTGCAAGGGAAAACAGCATTTCTAGCATTCTTTTTATTTTCACAATTCCCTTTGTTCCCTATTGACTCCAGAAGCATTCATGGAAAATACAACTGGTAGCTGGTTGAAGATAAAGCCTAGAGAGATTGATCAGAAGTACTCTTACCAAAGCTAAGCTGACTATAGCAGAACTGAAGAACAATGCTCCATGTCTATGTATTCTCAACATTTATAATGTGGCCATAGACTCTACTCTCCTTCAGGATTCTGCAAAAATATGTTCATCGTGGTTGCTTCTCATTCTCTTCTTGCGTTGTTATCTTTCTTGTATCAATTATCACATCCTATATAGAGGATGTTCTGATCACAGCCTGATCTCTTCCCCCCTCCCAAAGGTTTGCTCACCATTGGGTCAAGCATATGTTCTTCTCTTAGGTTGAGAACCTAAGCATCTGATGAATCAGATAACTCCACCACATGAGAGGGAATAACTTCTGGAAAACTGAAAAGTCCAAATGTGGTGGGGTTTGTTTGTTTGTTTTTTGGTATCCTTGTGGTTGATCCCAGTGAAACTATTATCCTTCTAATTTTGTTCTCATGGATCAAGCATGTACTTGCCATACTTGAGTGCAGTGGAAACTGCACTTTTCAACATCAATTATTGTTGTGATGAAACAGAAATGGGGCTTCAAACCCAAAGCCTCATTTAAGTATCTGAAAGTTTTGAAAGAATAAAAAATGAAAACTCTGTAAAATCCTGCTGTCAAAACGTTGTCAGTGAGGCTGAAAAAATAGAGATGGACTGGAGAAGTGCAGTGAACAGCAGATGCTGTGGCTTTTGTTCTGAAGCGACTTCTGCCTGCCAGATTTTACCCTTAAGGCACAATGGCAAAATAAGGCTTTCCACCTGTTATCTCTCACCATTATGGGCTATGTTCTTTTTCCTCTCCCTCTCCCCCATTTAAGTTTGGGTTAAGAATTCTGCATCTTCCCAGCAGTTAAAGCTAGTCATCCCAGCTGCAGAACTCTTTACATAAAACAGCTGTTCTCTGTGAGCAAAGTTCACTCTTTCTTGTTTAGGTTTTAAAGCTGTTGTGCTGTTGACTAGATCCATGATTCTGTTTAAAAGACTATCTGAGGATCTTTTAAAAATCCCAAAACAAAAACTTAGTGATTACACTAGGACTGGGAAAGACTTGGGTTCATATCTGAGCTTACTCATGAAATTTACTGACTTCAGGCCAATAATTATCTCTTAGTCTAAACTATTGTGCAGGATTTTTATGAAGACAAGCATGGCCACAGTTGAGGAGAACCAGGGATACACTTTCCAGGAATAATGCGAGTAGTGGTAAAAGATTTATTATGGGCTAATAACTAAGTCCCATTCAATCATAGAATAACATAATTAATAGAAAAATAGAGGAGGAGGATTGAACCTCAAAGCAAAAGATTCCATATCTAATAATAATACTAAGACTCTCCAATGGCACCTCTCTTGCTTGTTTTAACATAAATCAGGAGGATGTGCTAGATATTTCTTAGAAGTTCTGTTTCTATTTTCACATCCCATATATTTCTCAATGTATAGCAAAGCTTTGAGAATTTGTAGTTGTCTATGTTTCTGGGTTCCAACCCCCATTTTATGGCATTTTTAGTAATTGGAATCCAATAACACCTAGAGGGCTCTATGTATATTATAATGTTCTGTTTGAATGGTCCTCCTGCTTGAATCCTTTCAACAAAAAAGCAAGTGTCTTTGAATTCATGCTGTTCTCCATCATACTTTGGTTTATCCAAATCACATATTTCAACACCTCTAGGTCAGTCAAATCACATGTAATACTGAAAAAGGGAGGAAATGATTGAGATGGCTCTTTTCCATGAGATTAATTGTTGAGAGAAACATGAGGTAGACAAAAATGATGGATTCCCCTGATTCTTTACCCCATCACATTTTTTTTCCTGTGGCATGGACTATAAAGGGGAAAGTGGCAATCAATAATCAATTTGACTTTCAAATAAATTAATAGGGTCATCATTTTACTCTTCCATGCCATCAATGTCCATTTTTCTGTTTCCATAGTTTTTCTACAAATACACTTCCTGAACTTATAAAACATGTAGATTTTGTGAACTTGTAGAAAACAATCATCATGTAGGGAAGCAACACTGAGCAGAAATGAGATGGTGTTCCAGTTGGAGAGAAGGTGTTTGCCTACAGTGAAATATTGCACAGAAACAGACAAACCAGAGAGCACTGTTCAAGTAGGCACAATAAAACATACAAACACACACAACTGTTAATATAGAGCAGATAAAGATGTGGGCAGAATGCCTCCACAGCAATGCTATAACTCCATAGGAAATCCCACAAACTGTGACTCATCCTTTTTTAACCTCACATTTGTTATTTGTCTGGAATTATATTGCAATATACTCCAGTTGCAGATTCCTCAAAGATCAGCACCTGTAGAAGAAAGACTGGCAGAGTCAGGAGGAAGAGTTAAAGAGACATCTGTTTAGAATTATTACATAGTCACAAGCGAACTAAGTCCTTGAACATTATTGACCATGTTGGTGGCGCAGCAGTTAGAGTGCAGTACTGCAGGCCACTTTAGCTGACTGTGTTCAGCAGGTCAGCAGTTCAAATCTCACCGGCTCAAGGTTGACTCAGCTTCCATCCTTCCAGGGTAGGTAAAATGAGGACCCAGATTGTTGGGGGAAATGTAAATATATATATACATTGCTTACTGGTGTATACCGCTTAGAGAGTGCTTGCACTTAAAGCGGTATATAAGTCTCATAAATAAATAAATAAAATAAATAAACCAGGAGCTGACTGTTACTTGAGAAGATTCTAGTGCATCGTTTTAGCAATAAATCGGTTAATTTGAACCATTGTGCATGGATCTGATTTTTTTATACCTGATAGCACCTGTGGGGTTAATAAGTTGGAAGGAAGGATTCCTAAAAACAGTAGTAAAATATAAAGTGCTAGTAGAAGTATATTTTCACTTTTAAAAATTGACTTCTGTATAATGCTATGGCTGGAAATGCCATTTTAAAAGGTTATTACAAATTAGTTTCCTTTTTTTTTTTTTGTTTAAACCTTCTTCCATTTCAAAATAGAGTTTGACTTCTAAGCCCTTTTTCTCGGAGCAGTATGTAAAAGAAATCCCCTCCCTATCTCTTTCTCTCTCCCTGATATTATCTTCTGAATGAACCTAATAAATTCCATTTTGCAGGACACATATGAGCATAAGGCTGATAGCAGCTCCTCCTGGCATTTAAAATGAGTCTGTCCTCAATTTTGCAAGCACATTTGGCAACACTCATAACATTTTTTTAAAATCCCTCTTTTCCATATAAGGGCATCTAATCTCAGTTTGCAGCGGAGTTGGAGTATACCTGCATGAGGCCTGACCCACGACACATTGCCAGTTAGAACAAATGTTTAGACTTTACTTGGCAACCCATCTACAAATGATTTCCTTTGTTTTATTCAGCAAGTACAACAGAGCTGCCTTTGGTTCTGCTTTAGCCTTGCCTCCTGTGAGATAAAGCAAGAAAAGGCATTGGCTAAGACTATAGCAGCTCTTGGGATGCTGCTTAGTTTTGGTGAGGTAGTTTCTCTGAAAAAGTTCCATTTTATTAACAATATTCATTAGACTTTTTCTCTACTAGTTACACTGAAAAAAAAAGTTTTCTTCAAGGAAAGCTGTGAGATATAAAGCCTTATGCTCATATGCTTCTTGTAGGGTGAGCAAGCTGAAGATGGGGTGGCTGACAGCTGGGAACTTGGTGAATGGAGCAAGGACCAGATGGCGCTCTCTCTCTCTCTCTCTCTCTCTCTCTCTCTCTCTCTCTCTCTCTCTCTCTCTCTCTCTCTCTCTCTCTCTCTCACACACACACACACACACACACACACACACACACACACGCAAGAATATAGTTCTTCTCAGTAACAGTTAATTGGTTCTTCTCTCTCTCTCTCTCTCTCACACACACACACACACACACACACACACACACACACACACACACACACACGCAAGAATATAGTTCTTCTCAGTAACAGTTAATTGGTTCTTCCAGGTCACCTGATCCATGGCAGGTTATCACACAGCTATCTGAATTGGAATTCCTTGCAGTTTTCTCAACCCCCCCCCCATTTCACCCTGAGATTTCTTCTACCCAGCCTTTACTTACTGTAGTTACAGCTTGGACATCCATTCCCATCTATTGCTTATTCTCTGTTTATATTTTCAGTCAGCATAAATTTGGAGAACTGTATCTTGGTTGCATCTTTCAAGAATTTCCTAATGACTTGAATTCCCAATTGTTTATTATATGCCTAGGAGGAGAGCATCTCCTGACTTTTCACCTTCATGTTTTATTCTGGAATTTAGAGAAGAATGCATACAAGATTTCCTTAGACTTATAGATAATTTAACTTTCACTAGGTTTTTTTTCCCAGTCTCTCTCTTTCTGTATGAAATTTACATACCACTTAATTCTAAAAGGCTCCAAATAGCTTTTAAACAATAAACAAATGAATAGCAAAGAAAACATACCACCATCCCAACACCAATAGCAACAATAATCCTTCCTGTCTGTTGACACACTAAGGAAGAGCAGTTATGGCACATGTCACTTTCTGCAGGACAGGGACCCTCCATATTATCAAACGCTAAAGGCTTTTCTTAACAGATCTTAGGAAAATCTTAGCAGTTTTTCTGAATATCCACAGAGTTGGTATTCATGTGATATTGGATGAATGCCTGTTCCAAAGGAAAAAGGTAGCAACAGAAAGCGCATTCCCTTGTGGTCTCTCACGCTAGTATTCCTCAAGAATGGGACTAAAAATGGTATCGTTTCCCAAATACCAGATATTATTACATGGGCAGAAATGGCTGGGAAACGATGAACTCACCAGGAATTCAGATCATGAGACCAATAGGGCTTTAAAAGTGACAGCCAACAACTTATATTCCACCCAGAAGCCAACTGGTAACCAGTACCACTTTTGCAGTAGTTGTGTTACTAAGACAATAAAAAAAATGCCAATAACAACTACTGCTGCTGCATTCTGGACCAGCTGTAGTTTATGGGTGGTCTTCTGGTAGAGTGAATTGTAATAGTCGAATCAAAAGATGATCCAGGCATAACTGATTGTCAACAGGGGTTTCTGATCCCAAAATGATTGCAACTGGTACACAAGTTGGAGTTATGTACAGTATAGGATCTGCTGGTCATAGCTGTCACATGCTGTTCAAGAAGGTATTGTGAATTCAGAAGGAACCCAAGCTACAAAACTGTCCAGGGAATGTGTCCCCTTTCAGAATTAAAGATGGAATATTACTGGTCTCAGCTGACTTACACTGAGCCTACATCCATTCCATCTTGGCAGAACTGAGCATACTTTTCCTATACAGGCTCTCATAACCTTCAGGCCCAAAGATAAGATCTTGATGTATAGCATGTTCAGCACATCTCCTCTTCAGTCCAGAGTTCAGCTATTTAAGCGGGTATCTTCAACGAACTGTTCATACCTGACGCTGTGTTGGTGTGTGATTTCGTTAGTGCTTCCCAGACAATTCTTCATTTCAGAAAACTGCCCTTTATTTAAGTTATTGGCTTTTTGAAATTTCCTTTTCAACACAAATACATAAACACAAGCTATTAATCATTTTTTTTCATTCTTATGAACCTCTTTCAGGTTTGCCTCTTTTTCAAGTTTGTCTTTTCATTTTTTTTTTCAAGAAGATATGGCTGCTGTAAACTAAGAAGATCTGCCATTGTTAGTATTATATCTTTGTATCTGTAATGTTTATGTGAATAACCATGCAGACATTTGCTTTTTTACTTTTCAGAAGTTGGGTTTAATGTTTTTTTAAAAAAATAAAAACAAAAAACAGGGTTTCAGGTTTATTCCATTTTTTTCTGGGTTTTTTCTTTTTTTCCCCCCAGAACTTCTTAATAGTGATATTTGAAAGGTACTTATTTCAATGTACTCCTTTCAATATATTCTACTGCTTTTCAGAATATGGCTTGCCTATCCTTAATGTTTTAAGATGGGTGTAGGATGCTGTGGCTGTTTCTCATGTTGTTTTCTGTTATTCATCAATTTTAAGGAAAATGATAAAATGCAGAAACTATTTTGGCACATATTAGCCAATGCTAATCCTCTTCCAGGAAGGTAGCATTCTGACTTCTGATGCCTAAAATCTGATTTTTTAAAAAAACCTATCTTTTATAAGTAGCTTCTGGTTAGATATAAAAACAAATTAGCTGACTGCATTTAATACCTTTTTCTTCTTGTTCATGTTCCATTACTTTTGGTGTGTGATCCATAACTGTGGAATGGTTGGCTAGTTGGCTGGTTGGCTGGCTGGCTGACCGGCTGGCAGATAGATAGATAGATAGATAGATAGATAGATAGATAGATAGATAGATAGATAGATAGATAGATAGATAGATATTATAATTAGACTATACATTTATGCACATTTTTATGCACATTTCAAGAGTTGTCGTTGTCAACCAGAATATATAGTGATTAAAAAAGTAATGTATAGGATTAGGTCTACCAATAATGCAGTAAAATGTAAAATTATAGGTTGTCATATAAAATATGTTTATGTGAAGATGTATTTTGAACCTTTTATTTTTAATTAGGGCTACTGAGGATAACTTTAGTTACATAAATATGCAGCAGAAACAATTTCACTGATCAATATCTAGAATAAATGAAGAATGTATTATCTCAAGCAATCTGGCTACATGGATTATATTCTTACACTCCCTAAAAGCTGTCTGTCAATATTCTTTATCAGATTTTGTATTATGTAATCTGAACTGAAAGAACAGGGAGGAGCAGCAATTGTAAAGGAATTGTGAAAAAAAGCAACAACAAAGAAGTAATTGCTGCCACAAACTCTAAGTCCAAGGAAGATTGAGGAGCAGATGGAAGCTACTGAACATGGTAGTCAGAAAACAAATAATTGCAGGCTTAGTGTTTCACAGACCCTTTTGTTATGGAGCATGCATTAGGTGGCGCCTGATTTTGAAAATACTACCGGTAATTAAAAAATTACATACTTTTTTTTTTTTTGCTGAAATGTAGCCAATGAAGGATTTTTCACCTATAACCCAATTGAGACACTCCTGATCAGATCTGACTTATTTTCAACAACTGGGAAAATATATCTTCATAGTCCATACCGATGGGGGGGGGGAATGACTTAAGGGGGAAAGGATTAAATTCTCCTACTGCTTCTTTAGATGACCTTCCCACAACTACACCTCAATCTTTTAAATTTTGTTTAAATAAAGCCTGAATGTCAGCATTTTAAAACAACTTTCAAGACTTGCAAAGTACCACTTTTCAATGTAGCATCCTTAAAATCTCAGAATTGGGAATAAGTGTGCAAAGGCAACACCATGAAAGATATTCTTAATTCAACGACTCTATCCTGTTCTATCCACTCAACCCAAATGGAATTATTAAGGGTTTCCCATATATCTTAAAGCAGTGCTTCAACCATTTTTGTGTAATATCACCCACTAGAAGTCTGATTGGCACACACTGTAGATCACAAAATCTTACTAACTTCTCTAAGTTTATTAGGCACTAATTACAAAGTTTTCCTTGGTTTTAGCCTTATATTTCCCCTGTCACATTTCTGGTTATGGGTTGCTGATTGATTATGTGTTGTTAAGTAATTTAAAAAGAAAAGCAAAGAACCTATCATATTTATATTGATGACTCTGGACTGCATTCTTCTACCTCTGTTTTGGTGGTATAATCTTCCCTCTGCTTTGTCATTTCTAGATGGATACATTTCCACTGCATGAAATTTAGAACAGATTGAGCTATTCATCCTTCTTCTTTTTTTTACTATCTCGTATTAATTTTAAGGCCATCTTCTATTGTGCATGCTTTGGGTGGTTCTCAATAAAACTGCAAGAACTCACGATTTTTACCTCTCGAATCGCTAGTGAATTCATTTATAACTTACTTCTAAAATGGCTAAGCATTTAGTTAATGTCTTGGTGGCATCCTGTCTGGACTATTCTTCAGTTTTGTTGATAGCCTTCAGTTTGTTGATAGTCCTGTATATCAGGCCCAATAAGGTGGATCTAAATCTTTTTTTTATTCAAAGCCCTCCCTTTTTTTGCCAGCCCTTTCATTGGCTGGGTCTTTAGGAGTTTTATAAATTTGAATTGTTGATGTCCTCCACCTTTCTCAAGCTTTCTGCAAAATTTCCTTTGCTCACTGGTTTTTTTGGTGCCTTCAATTGATCCATCTCAGCTTAATCAACTTTAAATGCTTCTGACACTATGTGATGTTTATTCTTTAGACCTGCATTAAAAAAGAAGTAATCCAAGGTATAATATGAACAGCTTCACTCTCCGATTAATAACAAAATCCTGGTATGGTAGTAATGTAGCCATCTCCATTTATTAATCTATTGCCATTAAAGACACAGATGTCATTAAATTGCTACAATAATTTACACATTATACATGAGTAACCCATTATTGAAAAGTAACCCAATCACTGCTCAGAGCAAGAGACAGTTAAGCTCTTCTGATTTACTACTTAGAAAATTACCTTTCGTCCAAATGTCCTTCTTTCCTTATTAGAGAAAAACACAGCATTGATGGGTCACTGCAGGTATGGGCAAAGCAAAATGTCAACATTGGAATGACCAGAGCTCAAATGTTAGACTTTGGGGAAATATATATATATATTTGCCAGGGGTTGGGTTTGAGGAGTTACACACTATAGGTATGTTAACACCCTACATTTATTTTAACCCTTATATAATTACAAACAATCCCCTCCCAAAATATTCCTGCAATCTAAAATCATTATTCTCCAGCAAATATTGGCAGTGAGATAGACTTTGGAACCTGCAAAAAACGGGTGTGGGGTCATGGCTATTAATTATATAATCAATTAATTCCTACTCCTATCTTAGTCTTCAACTGAAGTAGGATTTATGATGTCAATCAAAAATGCTGCTGTAGGTTTTTGGAAGATGCCACAATGATGTTGGAATACATTTTGTGTATTATGATGCAAATGACACCAAAATCAAACCCCTTGCAGCATGACCTCATTGCACATGGAATGCCTCTTACCCCATTTCCTTTCTCTACAGATGCTCACAACAACTGACACACCTTGCAAGTAGGGCCGCTTTATGCCAACTTCTGCCATGTGACAAAAGCAGAGTAGCCATCCTCTATTCTGAACAGTAACTTTTAAGAAAATGGTGATCCCAGCTGCTGCATGGATTGTTGGGTATTTATAAAAAATCCCACTTTTCAGATGTTCTCGCATCCCTCGTTTTATTTTCATGAGAATCCTGTAATTAAATCCAAAGACTTAAAATGAGCTTTATGGTTGAAGGGAGACTTGAAATAGTGTTTTCCAGTCTTAATTCAACACTCCAGCCATTTTCTGACAACCATCTTCTTTCTATCCATGTTACAAATAGTGCATGTTCTGTCTCGGGGGGGGGAGTCCTTTTTTCCAAGAGCCATGAAAGATCTTTTCTATCTTTCCAAGAGAAGCTGTTTTTTAAAGAGATGAGAAGCAAATTTTAAACAATTTTTTTTTAAAAAAAATTAAGCAAATCTCAGAAACTTTTGCGATGTAGATTGCACTTTGCAGACAATTATGTGTCTTGGAAAGCTTTGACTAACCATTTGCCTACATCCCAGTTTGAACCAGATTTCCAGACTTGTGTTCAATTACATTTCAATCCAAAATTCATAAAACATAGAATCAGACTTCAATTGCACTAGCATCTATTTTTGCTTATACTTCTCCATCTTAAAAAAATGCTAATTTCTTAGTTTTGAAAACAAAATTGTATGGATGGCAGACCTTACTAACTTTGCAGATGTGATCAGTTTAGAGATAAGAATAAAAAATCTGGAGAAGGACTACTCTAATTTTATATACGTGATGGAAAAGAACAAATATTGAATACTACTTTTGTGGGACAGTTGTCATTTAAAACCACCTGCCAATCCTCTTCAGTTTCATTGCAAGCCTTTGCACGTTGCCAACTCTTGATCCTACAAAATTACAGGGCTTTGGAGTTTCTTCAGAGTCTTCAGTCTGTAAGCTGTAAAAGCAACAAAGATACCAAAGACCAGAGGCTACAGGAGGAGACTCTGATGAAATCTTATTTAATTTGCCAATTTGGGAGCAATTATGTGTCTAGTCTACATTCCTCATCAGTATGACCTTAAATTAGGGTGGGCAATTCATGGTCTGTAGGCTGTATGGAGGTAGTTCCTGTACCAGGCCCTTTTCTCTGCCCCAGAGCATTCAGGTTGTGCCATACAGCTCTGACATTTAGCAACCTTTCATATGGATGAGTGAAGGAAATGAACCTGACCCTCCCTATTTCTAATTCATCTTCCTACTTGCTGTATCGCATTGCCTATTCACCACTGTTGCTAAAGTTCCTCTTCAGTTTATCAGTTCTGTCAACAAAGATTATTTTTATTATAAGTGTGTGCATATATATGTTCCAGTTTTATCAAGAACTCTGTCTTATAAAAATGACAGTTTGTATTACACTATCATGGGAAAATCTGGAGAGGCATTTTAGTCTATCTGGACACAAGAAAATAAAAAATGTGTAATATAAAGTATTATCTATCAATTGGATTTATTTTTATTCAGAGTGATCTTGTATATACTTTGCAGTTAGTTTCTGTATTGTTAATAGAAAGTATTTTGTTTAAAGAAAATGGTATGTCAATCATATGCATACCTATCGACCAGACAGTCTGAAAAACTAAGAGCACCAGATCTTGTCTTATGACCTTCAGCATTGAACTCTAGGCTCAACCAGCACAGAGATAGGCAACTGGATGCTCTCTAGATGTTTTGGATTTCAAATGCCATAGGTCCCAGCCTTTATTTAGACATCATGGGCATTGTGATCTAAAACATTTGGGAAGTGCTAGGTTGTTTTTGGTTAACTAGTAGATATAACCATCTTTAGATAATAAAGACTCGTTTTCCCTGGACCGAGCAAGTGTGCATTTTGAGGTCCTCCTGGATTTATGGCTCCTGATCAAAGACCACATTGGTTGCCATGTCTAGGGAAGCCTTTGCGCATATTTGTCTGGTGTGCCAATTGTGCCCTTTCCTGGACCAAGAGGCATTACTCACCTCTTATTTTTTATTTTTATTTATATTCCACCTTTATTATTTTTATAAATAACTCAAGGTGGCTAAGATATCCAAACTACTTTCCTCCTTCTGTTTTCCCCTCAATAACAATCATGTGAGGTGGGTTGGACTGAATGAGAGTGACTTGCCCAAAGTCAGTCAGATAGCTTTCATGGCTAAGGTAGGACTTGAACTCA